ACTCCTCAGGGGGGTCGGGGCGGGACCCGGGGCGGCTGCCGCCGAAGCCCAAATCGCGTAGGACATCCTCGCAAAATCGCTCTTGGCGCTGCTAGAACTCCATTCCCGGCGTACATTTTGGATGCCCGGAGCCAACTGTAGGCCACGTCGTGGTCTTCGAGTTCCCAGAACTCCACTCCCGGCGTACATTTTAAATCCCCGGAGCCAACGGTAGGCCACTTCGTGGTCTTCGAGTTCCCAGAACTCCATTCCCGGGCCACATTTTGGATGCCCGGAGCCAACTGTAGACCACTTCGTGGTCTTCGAGTTCCCAGAACTCCATTCCCGGGCCACATTTTGGATGCCCGGAGCCAGCTATAGGCCACTTCGTGTTCTTCGAGTTCCCAAAACTCCATTCCTGGACATGATTTGGAATGCCCGGAGCAAACTGTAGGCCACTTCGTGTTCTTCGAGTTCCCAGAATCCCATTCCCTGGCAACATTTTGAATGCTGAGGCAGGCTGATGCTGAGGCTGAGGCAGGCTGAGGAGGCTGAGGCTGAGGCTGAGGACTGAGGCTGAGGCTGATGAGGCTGAGGCTGAGGCTGAGGCTGAGGCTGAGGCCGAGGCTGATGCAGGTTGAGGCTGAGGCAGGCTGAGGCTGAGGCTGATGCAGGCTGAGGCTGAGGCAGGCTGAGGCTGAGGCCGAGACTGAAGGCAGACTGAGGCTGAGGCTGAAGCAGGCTGAGGCTGAGGCTGAGGCTGAGGCAGGCTGATGCTGAAGCAGGCTGAGGCTGAGGCTGAGGCTGATGCAGGCTGAGGCTGAGGCAGGCCGAGGCCGAGGCCGAGGCTGAAGGCAGACTGAGGCTGAGGCTGAAGCAGGCTGAGGCTGAGGCTGAGGCTGAGGCTGAGGCTGAGGCTGAGGCAGGCTGATGCTGAGGCAGGCTGAGGCTGAGGCTGAGGCTGATGCAGGCTGAGGCTGAGGCAGGCTGAGGCTGAGGCCGAGGCTGAAGGCAGACTGAGGCTGAGGCTGAAGCAGGCTGAGGCTGAGGCTGAGGCTGAGGCAGGCTGAGGCTGAGGCTGAGGCAGGCTGATGCTGAGGCAGGCTGAGGCTGAGGCTGAGGCTGATGCAGGCTGAGGCTGAGGCAGGCTGAGGCTGAGGCCGAGGCTGAAGGCAGACTGAGGCTGAGGCTGAAGCAGGCTGAGGCTGAGGCTGAGGCTGAGGCTGAGGCTGAGGCTGAGGCAGGCTGAGGCTGAGGCTGAGGCTCATGCAGGCTGAGGCTGAGGCAGGCGAGGCTGAGGCCGAGGCTGAAGGCAGACTGAGGCTGAGGCTGAAGCAGGCTGAGGCTGAGGCTGAGGCTGAGGCTGAGGCTGAGGCTGAGGCAGGCTGATGCTGAGGCAGGCTGAGGCTGAGGCTGAGGCTGATGCAGGCTGAGGCTGAGGCAGGCTGAGGCTGAGGCCGAGGCTGAAGGCGACTGAGGCTGAGGCTGCAGGCTGAGGCTGAGGCAGGCTGAGGCTGAGGCTGAGGCAGGCTGGCTGAGGCAGGCTGAGGCTGAGGCTGAGGCTGATGCAGGCTGATGCTGAGGCTGAGGCTGGCTGCTGGCTGAGGCTGAGGCTAATGCAGGCCACTGCGACTGTCATCGCGAGCGCGACTACGACTGCGAGAACAGCAGAACTCTACAACTGGATTCTCATCTGAATCTTAAGGGGATGCTTCCAGATATGCTCCTACACATCGCTGGTAGGTTGCTTTGCCGGGATAATTACCTAACAGCGAAGACTGATAGGTCTCTAATGAGTCAAAAGAGAGCATCTGATGACTCCCCAGGGGGGTCTGGGCGGGAGCCGGACAGGCGAGGGCCGGGCTCGTTTAAGCAAACAGTCACACACTTCGTGCTCTTCGACCTCCCAGAACTCCATTCCCGGGCCACATTTTGAATGCCCGGAGCCAACTGTAGGCCACTTCGTGCTCTTCGACTTCCCAGAACTCCATTCCCGGGCCACATTTTGGATGCCCGGAGCCAACTGTAGGCCACTTCGTGCTCTTCGACTTCCCAGAACTCCATTCCCGGGCCACATTTTGGATGCCCGGAGCCAACTGTAGGCCACTTCGTGCTCTTGGACTTCCCAGAACACATTCCCGGGCCACATTTTGAATGCCCGGAGCCAACTGTAGGCCACTTCGTGTCTTCGAGTTCCCAGACCTCCATTCCTCGGGCATGATTTTGAATGCCCGGAGCCAACTGTAGGCCACTTCGTGTCTTCGAGTTCCCAGAACTCCATTCCCGGGCCACATTTTTTGAATGCTGAGACTGAGGCTGATGCAGGCTCAGGCTGAGGCAGGCTGAGGCTGAGGCCGAGGCTGTGAGGCTGTGGCTGAGGCTGAAGCAGGCTGAGGCTGAGGCTGAGGCAGGCTGAGGCTGAGGCTGAGGCAGGCTGATGCTGAGGCAGGCTGAGGCTGAGGCTGAGGCTGATGCAGGCTGAGGCTGAGGCAGGCTGAGGCTGAGGCCGAGGCTGAAGGCAGACTGAGGCTGAGGCTGAAGCAGGCTGAGGCTGAGGCTGAGGCAGGCTGAGGCTGAGGCTGAGGCAGGCTGATGCTGAGGCAGGCTGAGGCTGAGGCTGAGGCTGATGCAGGCTGAGGCTGAGGCAGGCTGAGGCTGAGGCCGAGGCTGAAGGCAGAGGCTGAGGCTGAGGCTGAGCAGACTGAGGCTGAGGCGGAGGCAGGCTGAGGCTGAGGCTGAGGCAGGCTGATGCTGAGGCAGGCTGAGGCTGAGGCTGAGGCTGATGCAGGCTGAGGCTGAGGCAGGCTGAGGCTGAGGCCGAGGCTGAAGGCAGACTGAGGCTGAGGCTGAAGCAGGCTGAGGCTGAGGCTGAGGCAGGCTGAGGCTGAGGCTGAGGCAGGCTGATGCTGAGGCAGGCTGAGGCTGAGGCTGAGGCTGATGCAGGCTGAGGCTGAGGCAGGCTGAGGCTGAGGCCGAGGCTGAAGGCAGACTGAGGCTGAGGCTGAAGCAGCTGAGGCTGAGGCTGAGGCTGAGGCTGAGGCTGAGGCTGCAGGCTGATGAGGCAGGCTGAGGCTGAGGCTGAGGCTGAGGCTGAGGCTGAGGCTGAGGCTGCAGGCTGCTGAGGCTGGAGGCTGAGGCTGAGGCTGAGGCTGAGGCAGGCCTGAGGCATGCAGGCTGAGGCTGAGGCTGAGGCTGAGGCTGAGCTGAGGCTGAAGCTGAGGCTGAGGCTGAGGCTGAGGCTGAGGCTGAGGCTGAGGCTGAGGCTGGCAGGCTGATGCTGAGGCAGGCTGAGGCTGAGGCTGAGGCTGATGCAGGCTGAGGCTGAGGCAGGCTGAGGCTGAGGCCGAGGCTGAAGGCAGACTGAGGCTGAGGCTGAAGCAGGCTGAGGCTGAGGCTGAGGCAGGCTGAGGCTGAGGCTGAGGCAGGCTGATGCTGAGGCTGAGGCTGAGGCTGAGGCTGAGGCTGAGGCTGAGGCTGAGGCTGAGGCTGAGGCCGAGGCTGAAGGCAGACTGAGGCTGAGGCTGAAGGCAGGCTGAGGCTGAGGCTGAGGCAGGCTGAGGCTGAGGCTGAGGCTGAGGCAGGCTGATGCTGAGGCAGGCTGAGGCTGAGGCTGAGGCTGATGCAGGCTGAGGCTGAGGCAGGCTGAGGCTGAGGCCGAGGCTGAAGGCAGACTGAGGCTGAGGCTGAAGCAGGCTGAGGCTGAGGCAGAGGCAGGCTGAGGCTGAGGCTGAGGCTGAGGCAGGCTGAGGCTGAGGCTGAGGCTGCAGGCTGAGGCTGAGGCAGGCTGAGGCTGAGGCTGTGACTGCGACTGCCGTTGCCACTGCGACTGTCATCGCGAATTCGACTACGACTGCGAGAACAGCAGAATTCTACAACTGGATTCTCATCTGAATCTTAAGGGGAATGCTTCCAGATATGCTCCTACACATCGCTGTTAGGTTGCTTTGCTGGGAGAATTACTACTCCCGCCACCCCTCACAGATAGCCAGCAATCCAAACCAACGCCCAGTCATGATATCATTGCTACGGATGGGTTGCTCCCTGGCTGTTTCCCAGGAAAAAGAAATGTGGGCCCCTTCCAACCCCCTCCAAACGTGGACTACCCATCTAACGTAGCCTCGACCTCGATGACAGGGAGCCCGTCCCGCGCGGAATGGACGTGACACCTGCATTCCGGTGACCCGCATGTCTCGGAATGATGTTCTGGCTTGTGCGTGGGCCACATCTCTGATAGGTAATGTTGGTCTCGCCTACGCGTTGGTGACATCCTTCATTGAGCGTATTATTCCCGCGTGCTCGTGGGCCACATTTCGAATTATAAATGCTGCTGTCCCTCAGGCGCCGGCGACGTCCTTCATTGAGAATGTCTTCTAGCCTTGGCGCCTGCCAAATCTCTGATTGAAAATGTTGCCGTCGCCTGAGCGCCAGCGACATCCTTTATTGAGCGTGTTGTTGTCGCCTGTGCGCGGGCCACATATCTGATTGAAAATTGTGCTCTCGCATGGGCGCCGGCGACATCCTTAATCGAGCATGCTGTTGTCGCCAGTGCGTAGGCCACATTTCTGATTGAAAATGTAGCTGTCGCCGCGGCGCTGGCGACTTTCTTCATTGAGCATGTTGTTTTTTGTTTTGCGCAGTTTCGACAGGCCCTAGGTCAGTTTAAGTTAGGGTAGTGCTACGTTAGGGGGGGATTGTAAGGGCACTCCATTGGCATTCCAGGTGTTCTCAAAATGGTTTACAATCGAAATCAATTGCGGATGGTCTTCCGGAACTCACATTCCAGAGGTGTCTTCTCCGGTCAATTGGGGAATCGCCCGTCCAACGGGGGAATCGCCCATTTAACCGGGGAACAACTTGCGGCCTGCCCCACCCATCCCTCCGCTCCTCCCCCACCTCTCCCCTTTGGCTTCCCCCCCCCTGCCCTCCCTCCACCTCTCCGTTCCTCCCATCCCCGCTCCGTCTGCGGCAGGGGTTTGGGAGGCTGGGAGCCCGTGGGACAGTCGTCCGCCGTGGTCGCCCAGCAGGAGAAGACCGCGAAACAGAAGGCCAGCGCCACTCGCAAGGACGGGGCCAGGAAAAAGGGGGTTAGAGGAGGGGGAGGACGAGGAGGAGGAGGAGGAGGAGGAGGAGGAGAAAGAGAAAGAGGAGGAGGAGGAGGAGGAGAAAGAGAAAGAGGAGAAGGAGGGGAAGGAGGATGATGAGGAGAAGGAGGAGGAGAAGGCAGGAATAGGAGGAGGAGGAGGAGGAGGACGGGGAGGCGACCGACTCTGGCGACGGCGACGGGGATGACGACGGCAACGACGACCATGGGGGGGGGGGGCGGGCTGGGGCTGGCGGAGGCAGGAATGACCAGGAGGAGGAGGAGGGAGGAGGAGGAGGGAGGAGGAGGAGGAGGGAGGAGGAGGAGGAGAGAGGAGGGAGGAGGAGGAGGAGGGGGAGGAGCAGGAGGAGGAGGAGGAGGAGGAGGAGGAGGAGAGGAGGAGGAGGAGGAGGAGGAGGAGGAGGAGGAGGGAGGAGGAGGAGAGGAGGAGGAGGAGGAGAGGAGGAGGAGGGAGGAGGAAGAGGAGGGAGGAGGAGGCGGAGGAGGCGGAGCGGAGGTGGAGGAGGAGGAGGAGGAGGAGGAGGAGGAGGAGGAGGAGGAGGAGGAGGAGGGGAGGAGGGGGAGGAGGAGGAGGAGGAGGCGGGCGGAGGCGGAGGCGGAGGAGGAGGAGGAGGAGGAGGAGGGGGGGGAGGGAGGGGGAGGAGGGAGGAGGGAGGAGGAGGGAGAGGGAGGAGGAGGAGGAGGAGGAGGAGGAGGAGGAGGAGGAGGAGGAGGAGGAGGAGGGGGAGGAGGAACAGGAGGAGGAGGAGGGAGGAGGAGGAGGAGGAGGATGATGATGATGAGATGAGGAGGAGGAGGAGGAGGAGGAGGAGAGGAGGAGGAGGAGGAGGAGCAGGAGGAGAAACACTAGGAGGAGGAGGCGGAGAGGCAGGAATAGGAGGACGAGGGGGCGACCGACGCCGGCGACGACGATGACGACGGCAACGACGACAGCGACAGCGACAGCGACAACAGCGGCGACAGCGACTCCGACGCCGACGACTCCGGCGACGACCCCGGGTCGCCCGAGGCGCCTCGGCTCCCGAGCGGTGACCGCGGCGGCTGCCGCACGGGTCCCCGCCAGCGACGAGAGACGCTCCCGCCGACGGCGGCGCCAGCCCAGCGTTGGCGGCTTCGGGCGTGGCAGTTTTTGCACAGCGGACGCTTTCGCCCAGCTTCGGGCCCCGGGACCATCGCGGATCGATCCGGCCCGAAAGGCGCGGCAGAGCGAAGGGTCCTTTCTGATGCTCTTGATGTTCTAAGCGCTCCCGAGCGACACACACATAGACACACACACACACACACACGCACACTCACACACACACACACTCACACACACAACACATAACACACAACACACAACACACACACACACGCATGTTCGAGAAAGCAAGCAAGAGTCTACATGCCCCCCTTGAGTTCTGGCCCAACCGGCAGAGCGAAGGCGCAGACGGGGTCCCTGGAAGTCCCGACCCTTTCCCCAGGACCAGTTCTTCATCCTGCATGAATGTTTTGTGACGCTCCCGAGGCCCGGCGAGGGCCCCCCGAGGCCGGAAAAGGCCAAGAGCGACGCGATCCTTCAAGGGGGGTATGTAGCTCCCGATGCAACCGATGTGGCGGGATCTTGCCTTTGTCTCGCGGCGTCGGATCTCCGGACGCGGCGGTCGGCGGCGGCGCCGAGGAGAAGCCCGCGCGGAAGTGCCGACAGGCTTAAGTCGGGCCTGTCCCCCTACACGGGGATTTTCGGCGAAAAATGAAAAATACCTTAAATAGGTAGAAAATATTTAAAAAATAGTCCCCATACTAGATTACTTTTGAGGTATCCTTTATTTTTCGCCGAAAATCCCCCTGTAGGGGGACAGGCCCGACTTAACGACAGGCCCCGCGGCGGAGCAGCTCCACCTCTGCTGGCGGGAGCCCACAGGCCAGCTCGGCCAGCAGCCCGCGCCGGCCCAAGGCGCGGCGGCGGCCCAAGGCGCGGCCCGCGCCGCTGTCGGCCGTCGTCGCCGCCGCCGTTGTCGCCGTCGCCGTCGTCGTCGTCGTCGTCGCCGTCGTCGTCGTCGTCGCCGCCGTCGTCGCAGGCGGGAAAAGAGCACATCGAGATCTGGAGGGGAAACAAGAACACAGTCACGCAGAAGCGCCGCCCCAGGAAAAGACGGGAAAGGATGGGGAGTGTGTGGGGGGGAAGACGACCACCTAGAACATATGTGAACATATGGGGCATCCTGGCATTTGTGCCTAATTGTTCTGTGCGTCCCTGGGGTCGTTACCCGCCTTGCCAGGCAGCGTGGGCATCCATCCCAGCCCGTGGCACGCCCTGACCATCGCAGGGGCCGGCCCCGTGCCAGCCACCTCGTCGGAGCCGCTGCATACTGCGCTGCGGGACCCGCTGCCCCGCGCGTGCGTGCCTGCCCCGTCCTCGTGCGCGTGGCAGGGAGATTTGTGCCCACGCCTCGATGGGCAGCAGCGCGGGGGCCGTGCCTGGGCTCTGCAGGGACTGGCCAGTCGGGAAGTTTAGGCCTAGGCTCAGGTCGGACATGTCCCCTCTACAGGCGGATCTTGGCAAGAAAAGGAAAACAGCCAAACCATACAAAGCAATGATCAAACAACGATCGAATCTTTGTCCCCAGACTTTTTTGTGAGCATGTTTGAATGCTCCTCCTGTAGAGGGACAGTCCCGACTTGAGCTTAGGCTCCTGTCTTCTGCTCGGCCGAGATGCGCAGGCGCTCACCTGGCCAGCTGACTGCCACGCTGGAGGGCGAGACGGTCGCCACATCACGAGTCCAGCCATCCTGCACGGCAGGCAGGCGCTGGCATGCGGTCCTGCGAGAAGCAAGGCGAACACGCAGGCAGGGAGGGCCAAGCCAGGAACGCTGCCGTCCTTCCCCTTACTGTTCGTGCTCCGCCTCGTCCATCCCCTCCTCCTCTCCATCGTGTCCCGCCCTCCACCTCATCCTATTCCTCCTCACCTTCCCCCCCTCTTCTCATCCTGTCGGTGTTGTTTTGTCTTGCTCCGCCACCGCCCGGAGGGGGGGTGGTTGAGCAATACAATGAGACAGGAGGGAGAAGAGGACGAGGAGGGAGAGGGGGGAAGATGAGGAGGGTGAAGGCATGAAGGCTTCCCTCTTCTCCTTCTCCTTCTCCTTCCCCCTCTGCTCTCTGATTCCTTCTTTCCCTTACATCCCGCCTCCCCACCCTCCTCGCAGCCGGCTCCTCTTCTTCCTTATCTCCTGCTTCTGCTCTCCACCGCTGCGCAGGACGAGAGGAGGAAACAAAGAGGTGGACAACGAGGAGGATGTCAACGACAACCGCCTCAGGAGCGAGGAAAATACCAACAATGAAGATGAATGAGTGTAGAGCCCGTGACGAAGACGACGACGACCACGACGACGACGACGACGACGATCACGGCGACGACGATTACGACGACGGCGAGGGTAACGCTTGCGACGGCAATGCCAGCGTCGACAGTGTCGAAGACGGTGACGACGACGACGGCGACGACGACGACGACGGCGATGCCGAAGGTCACGGCGACGACGACGGTGCCAGTGGCGGCGGCGGCGGCGGCAGCGGCGGTGACGGCGACGACGCCACCGCCGCCCGCTGCGCCGCCACCGAGTCCGCCGAGAGGGCCCCGAGTGGGCCCCCGACAGACCGCCGACAGCCCCCGGCGCCGTCCGTGGCCGCCTGGCCGCCGGCGGCCCTCGGCCGCCGACGGCGGCGGCTGGCCGCCCGCTGCGGCGGCGACGCCCGTGGCCGTGGCGGCGGCCTCGCCGCCGCTGCCGCCGCCACGGCTTCTCTCCACCTTGCGCTCCTCCTCCTCCTCCTCCTCCTTCTCTTCCTCCTTCGCCTCCTCCTCCGCCTCCACCTCCTCCTCCTCCTCCTGCTCCTTCTCCTCCTCCTCCTCCTCCTCCTCCTCCTCCTCCTTCTACTCTTCCTTTTCCTCCTCCTTCTCGGCGCCCGTGGCAGGCCAGACGAGACGGAAGGCGGCGGAGCTCCAGCAGCCCGCGCGCGGAGCGCTCGAGCGGCGAGGCAGGGCCCCGCCCGCCTCGCTGCTCTCTCTCTCTCGCTCTCTCTCGCTGTCGTGCTGCGGTCTCTCTTTTTCTCTCTCTCTCTCGTGCCTCGTCTGGGTCCCTGGCCTCTTCCTCCGCCTTCTCCTTCTCCTCCTCCTTCTCCTCCTCCTCCTTCTCGCTGTCCTCCTCCTCCTCCTCCTCCTCCTCCTCCTCCTTCCGTAGCCATGTTGGCTCAAGGTTCCAGTTGGCCGTGCCGACACATGGAGGCCGCTAGTCCGCGGACTGCTTTCGTGCATACTCGAGGCGAGGGCGCCTCGTTTATTGAACGCCTCCCCGTTTCGCGCCCCGCATGGCCGACCTCCCGCCTGCGGCGTCCGATCACACGTTGCGCAGGGGTGGGCATCTCGAAGCGCAAGCCTCATGGTGATGTCGCTGGTGCTGCGGCTGGTGTGGCTGCTGGCTCCAGAGGCGACCGCTCGAGGACCCCACCTCCCAACGATGAAGCCGACCTGGACGCCTTCGCCACCCTGGCCTACGTCCAGACCCTGCAGAGCAGGATCGGCAACATGGAGAACTGCATCAAAGAGTCCATCAACACCACTGTCTCCTCGGCGATGGGCGATGCCACAGCGCCTATCACCTCCGCCCTGCAGGCCGCCCAGTATGCGATCAACGGCCTGTCGGGCAAGATCGAGAAGGACATCAACCTCGCCATCGGCCAGCGCATTGACACTGTCCGCAAGGAATTCCAGCAGCAGCTCGACGTCTTCAGCAAGAGGATGGGCGAGCTCGAGTCCAGGCATGACAAGACCGACGCCGCCATCGCGGCGATGGCCAACCAGATCAGAGACCTCCAGCAGGCGCTCGAAGTCGCAAACAAGCAGCCGATCCAGAACCAGTACGCCAGCCGCGACTTCGACAGGGAGATCGATGCCACGGTCGTCAAAGTCCACGCCGACGGCCTCGTCATTCTCGAGAAGGCCACGGAAGCCCTTTCCAAATGGATCACAGAGAATAACATTAAAGAGTCAGATTTCAAGGTCCAGGGGAATCCTCTACATCTAGGCTCTTCACGGTCCAGTTCCTGGGTGTCCCTGGGGTCGCTGCCAAGAGAGCCCAGAAGGTCCTCGACTGCCTCCGCGACCGCAACGGCAACTGGACCCGCATCCACGCTCCAGCGGTCGCGGGCCAAGGGCAAGTCGAGCTGCGAGCCGGCCCCGACAAGTCGCCCAAGCAGATCAAGATCGAGATCACGGGCAAGCGCATCAGGCAGGCGCTGGAGCGGGACTTCCCGAACCACACCTGGCGGGTCGACCGCGCCAAGGGCTGGGTCCTCGCTGGCTGGGCGCCTGTCCTCTCCTGTTTCTGTTTGACCTGATCGAGGCGATCCCCCCGTGCTCTCCTACCAGGACACCGCTCCCCCCCCCCCCCCCCGCGCTCGGCATCGACCGTGCGCAGCTCAAGACCTCCGCAACTGCTGCAGTGGCCTTTGAAGCTGCTCCCCAGTTTTGGCTTTGACGAACTCGCGGCCAGCTTGAAGAGACCCCCCCTGCGGTCCCTCCCCGAGCTTGGTCGTGGGAACATGGAATGCTCGAGCGCTTCTCGGCTACCAAGGCCGAAGAGTCATCGAGGAGACCAACCGCATGCCTCAATACCTTCCCCCTCGGCAAGATGACCCTCGGCATTCAAGAAGTGCACCAGGACATCGCGCAGCCCCGCGCATTCATGAAGAAGATCGACAGCACGCTGGACATGCACTTCTCTTCCGCTCCAGGCCGCCACGGCATGGCCAGCGGAGGGGTGGCCGCCATCTTCCCTGCAGGCCTCCATGCTGAGAGCGAAGCTCTCCTTCCTGGTCGGGTCCTCCGCGCCATCTTCCGCACCAACACCCGGCAGACGATTTACTGCAACATCCACAATTACGAGATCAACAACGCTGCCATCAATCGCATCTCCACTCGCATCCTCAGCGACCTCTGCCTCGCCAAGGCAAGCCCGAGCAAGGTGGTCCTCTTCGTGATGGGTGACTTCAACTTCGCTGCTGTCGGGCAACTCAAACTCACCGAACCTGTATCCAGAGCCAGCTCGGAGCCCTCCGAATCGCCCAAAGCATCGGCACGCCAGTGGAACGACGTGCTGAAACACCTTTGTTGAGATCGAGGGGGCCGACACCACCCACTACTGTGCTGAAACGACGGCTGAATCCACGATCGACCGCTTCTTCTGCTCATTCACGCCTACGCAGATGCTGCAGCTCACGGTCAATTCCGCCACCTTCTCCTCCCCTGAGGACCTCTCGCGTCGCCGTGTCAGCGACCACGCGGCCGCCCTCGTCTCTTTCACCATGCGCGACATGAAGCCAGCTAAAAACCAGCCCATAGCCCAGTACATCACGCAGCCCCCCACCTTCAAGAATATCGCTGACATGGAATTCGAGGCGACTGACATGAACCACCTGCCCCCGCCGTCCAAGCTCGTGCTCACCACTGAGCTGCTCCGCGAGATCGCGAGGGAGACCAGGGGCCACATGCTCGAGACCTCCCCGAACAGCGGCGACGCCCAGCTCTAGGTTGCCGAATCCATCGCCCGCGCCGTGTGGCGCCAAGACAACAAGCTCGCCGCCCGACTCCTTCGCGTGCAGCAGTCTGCTCAGGACCACGCGATGTTGGACGGCAATCGGGTCGTGCTTATCGAGCCCGTCAAGTTCGAGGAATGGGCCAACGATCTCTGTCGCCAAGATGCTGACAGACGGCAGGCGGCCATCAACCTCGCTGCTCAGCGGGGCCGCCTTCGCCCTGCGCAGGCTCGCGCACAATCGCACGCTCTCCAGAGGAAGATCAAGTTGTGGAACCCGATTGGCAAGAGACTCATCCTGACAGGCGTCAAAACTAGCGTGGGCACTGTGTTGGGGCCGAAGGACAGGCTGCACAAGCTGGTCGAGCACTGGCAGCCAGTCTTTGAAGGCAAACAAATCGACCTCGACAAAGCAGCGGCTACCTCAGCCAGTTCTCGCCCATGATCGACTTCAACAGCTTCAGCCCGCCAGATTACGACACCCTCAAGAAGTTCGCCTCCCGATCCCCCTCTACCTCCCCTGGGATGGGCGGGCGCCGCCTGGTCCGCCCACGAGAAGTGCACCGAGACCCTCTGGGACGTCATGTGCTACATGCTCAACGGCGGCATCCTCCCCGACGAATGCAACGCCACTGCCCAGGCCTTCCTCCCCAAAGGGGACGAGCCCGAAGACTCGGAACACTGCGGCTGCCACCGTGACCCGTCGAAGGTCCGAGTCCTGGGTTTTCGCGACACCTCCATGAAAATCATCGGCAGCACCATGAACGCTGCGACAGCCACGGTAGCAGCCGAAGTGGTCCCAGCTTCACAGCGCGGCTTCATCCACGGCCCCAACTTCGGCTACAACGTATTGGAGCTGGACGTGGAGAGCCGCATCGCGTCCGCCGGCCCCGATGCGAAGGGCGCCCTGCCCGTGCTGGCGTCGCTCGACATAGCCCGGGCGTTCCCCAGCTTCGCACGCCAGTTCATCCGCCTAGCGCTCAGGGCAATGGGCGCGCCGATGGCCGCCATCAACTTCTTCGACTCCATGTGCCACAACATCCTCGCCATTGCTCCCTGCGCTGGCAGATGCATCCCCCTGTTCTACATCCGCTCGGGGATCATCCAAGGATGCGGGTGGAGCGGCACTCTCTATGCGATGGGCACGGCAAGTTTCCTCCTGAATCTCGAAAGAGCTCTGGAGAACCAGGGGCGAGGCCTCTGCCGCGCATGTGCTGACGACCTCGGGCTGGTGCTCAAAGCTGTCGCCCACCTCTCCCACCTGGCTGAAGTCGCGAACTTGATGGACTTGCTCGCGGGGCTCACCCTGAAGGCCCCGAAGTGCCACATCATCCCACTCGCGGGCGAGGTCAACACCGAGCTCGCCAACAAGCTCCACAACGCGCTGATCAACACCGCCCCGTGTTTCAAGGACTTCAACATCTGTGACTGTCTCACCTACCTCGGACTGCTGATCGGGCCTGGTGCAACCGAGAAACGAATATTCGAGAAAGCGCTCAATAAGTTCAAGATGCGTGCCAAGGCTTTCAGTGCTAGTGACGCCCCCTCCATGGGCTCAGCCGCATTGTTCAACAGCCGTGCACTCCCTGTCCTAAGCTACCTCGCACAGTTCGCCATGCTCCCACACGAGTACTTCAAGAACGAGAACTGGATCAACGCCTCGGTGCTGCGATTCCCCAACGGAGCCTTCAGGATCAAAGGCTGGCCACACCTCCGAGCTTGGGGTGTCCACGGTCCGCGTTCGTTGCAGCTCGCGATGGTGGCCACTATCATTCGCTCTGCGGCCACGACCTTCAGCAAATTCCCTGAGATCCGAGCACGACTTCATGAGGGCCTCAACTCGTACGGCACCATGCAGACACTGATTGGGGTTGCCCGTGGCGCGCTCCACCAATCGCCTCCGTGGTGGCAGATGCCCCCGTTCGTGGAGACGCTGCGCCAGGTCGCCACGTCCACGGCCGAGCATGTCTACTACCCAGCGAACCTGCTGCGCCCTGCGGTCGCTGGCGCGATGGAGGCCATCGACGACGGCCGCCCTGACCTCGCCCAGCGGCGCGCGTTCCGGGGGCGCTGCTGGCTCTAGGTCCTGACTCCATCGGCCCCTTCCTGGAGGCGAGGATCGTGGCCGAGCTCCCGCACTTCGCAGAGTTCTTCCACTACAACCCAGCCATCTTCTCCAAGCTGCGGGAAGCCATGTGCCGCCTCCCTCCGTCGTGGGCCGCAGCATGGATGAGGACTATTTCCTTCTCATGGCTGACCTCGTGGCTTATCATCCACCCGCTGGGCAAGAAGAACTGCATCTTCGGCTGCCGCCATGGCCATGACACGCTCAGACACTACCTCACATGTGCGCCCCTGGCGCGGGCTGTGGGCAAAGCCTGCAACGCCCCCCCCCCCCATGATCACCGAGTTCGCGAAGCTAGGCCTCACGGACATGACCAACGAATCCATCGAGCTCATCGTGGTCATGTGCAACACGCACCACAACCTCAGGGGCGAGCTGCGAGTCTCCGAGGAGGCGACCCTCTCTATCGCCAAGGCGGCCCTGCGCGCCTCGAAGTCCATGCGGAGGCCCCCTGTCGCCCAGCGGGGCCCTCAGCGTCGCCGGCGCCATCGACCACATGACGGTGATCAAGGCGCCCACGATCTGCTTCAACATCGTGACCAAGTACGGGTTCAGGGAGGAGCGCTTCTTCCTCCTCCTGCTGCGCCGCCTGTGAGTAGGTGAGTGCGGCGAGGCGCAGGCGGCGCGCTGGGGCGCGCGGCCACGGCAACCTGGAGCCGCCCCCTCGGCACGCTCGACTCCTCCTCCTCCTCCTCCTCCTCCTCCTCCTCCTTCTCCTCCTCCTCCTTCTCCTCCTCCTCCTCCTCCTCCTCCTCCTCCTCCTCCTCCTCCCTCCTCCTCCTCCTCCTCCTCCTCCTCCTCCTCCTCCTCCTCCTCCTCCCCTCCTCCTCCTCCTCCTCCTCCTCCCCCCCCTCCTCCTCCTCCTCCTCCTCCTCCTCCTCCTCCTCCTCCTTCTCCTCCTCCTCCTCCTCCTCCTCCTCCTCCTCCTCCTCCTCCTCCTCCTCCTCCTCCTCCTCCTCCTCCTCCTCCTCCTCTCTTCCTCTTCCTCCTCCTCTTCCTCGACGCCCGTGGCAGGCCAGACGGAGTCTCTCTCTCTCTCTCGTGCCTCGTCTGTGTCCCTGGCCTCTTCGTCTGCCTGCACTCGGGCTGCGTCGCGGTTGTGGGCTTGCTGCCGGGCACATCCTGAGGGCGTAGACGATCCGAGGCTTCTCCGGCTCTCCCGTGGCCTTCCATGCTCCTCGCCCCTCGCCCGCCGGCGCCCTTGAGCCTCAAACCGCGTGCGTTTCTCCGCTTGATTGACCGCTTCCTGGACCCAACTCGCCGCAGACCAAAGCAGCGGAGGCTCCGGCAGGCTGCGCGGTGCCCCCAGGGGGGGCCCGCAGACATCGCGCAGGCCCTTCCCCCCGGCGTCGCAGAGGAGGCGTCGTCGGCCGGACCTGCTCAGCAGAGGCGCTCGTGGGAGGACAGGCGCACGTGAGGATATCGAGGCTCTCTCTCTCTCTCTCTCCCTCTCTCTCTCCCTCTCTATCATTCGGCCCGCCCGGCGTGCCCTCCGACCAGGCGCCGCGCGAGGCCGCGCGTGGCCTTGTGCGCGCTGGCGCGGGTCGGCGCCGTCCCCCGATCGCTGGCGGCATGGTTTCTCCACCCTGGCGCGTTGCCTCGATGTCGGCTTCGAGGGCCCTTCGTTGGGCCTATAAAGGGCCATCAGAAATCAGGAGGGGAAAAACACACAGACACAATTAATCGTCGATCCCCAGAAGAAAATATGGGAAAATATGGGAAGGTGGGGGAAGACAAACACCCAGAAAATATGGGAAATATGGGGAATCTGTTTGATTTGTGTGTATTTATTTGTGTGTCCTGGGGCCCCTTCAAGAAAGTGGGACCAGGCGGTCTGCGAAGGAGTGGGGAGCTCTTGGGCCGCGGCTTGGATGACTCATATATCGGGGGACGTATGCCTGCTTGCCTGCCGGTCCCAGTTCCAGTCTCGCACGGAGGCTCAGCCGCGACGCCTCCGTCGCCTCTGGCTGGTGTTTGTTCTTGTTCGGTCTCGGAACGCCTCAGAGTTTTCTTGGCCAGCATCTGCCGTCGTGAGTGCTGGTCCTCGCTCAGTGGCGCCGACCACCCTGAAGAGTCTCTTGGCAGGCACGCGGATGTCAGACAAACAGGGTCCCACACGGAGGCTCGTTCTCGCCGTCGTGGCGGCCCCACGTCCAGGATCACCGGTGGCTGGCGGGCGTCGGGGGCCACAGCCTGCCCGCCTGCGTGTGCGGCGCCACGGCCCCCTGGCGCACGGCTTCCTCTTGCCGGTGGCCCCTGGTGCGCAGGGCGGGGCCAGGCCGCGGCGCCGCCCCGGCGCTGGCGGCTGGCGCCCAGCGCGCCCGAGGCTCTCACGAGCGCCCTCCGGGGGCCCCGCCTCGGGCCTCCGAGGGGCCGGCGGTGCCCGAAGGGTGCGGTGGCCACACCGTGTGGTGGGTCGGTTGTGGATCCGAGGCTCTCACGGGCGCCCCCTGGGGACCCCGCCTCGGGCCTCTGAGGGGTCGGTGGTTCCCGACGGCGGAGGCCTCGGTGGAGCGGCTGGCGCGTTAGGCCGGGCCTGGGGCCTGCGGCGTCCCGGCAAGAGCCTGGTGTGCGCCCGCGATATTGTGGAAGGGGGAGCGGCGATCTCGCGTCGACGGGTCGTCGCCGTCCCACACCTCCACGCGTCTGCAGAATCACGCTTGAAGGGCTCTGGGCCATCTTCGCTTGCTGACTCTGGATGGAAACTGGTGCCGGGGAGGGGGCCCAGACCTCCGGGGGACCACGCTGTGAGAAGACCACGGCGCGAATTTCTGGAGGAAGCTCACGCTGGACACTCGGCGAAGCCCGGCGGAGCGTGGCAGCGGCGCGCCTCGAGCTTCTGGGAGTCGGCCCGGTGTGGCAAAAGGTGCTGCGGCAGGGTTGCCCGCTCGATCTCTACCAGCGCTGTGGAGCACCCGTGGGTCGTCCTTCCCTTCTCCTCCTAGCCTGAGGAGCGGGCGGGCGCGGGCGGAGCCAGGGGCGACCTTCTCTGAGCCGCCCAGGCTGTTTCATCCGTCGCCATGGCAGGGGCGCGAACATATCCGTATAGCGCCTCGGGGTCTCCCGGAGGGCCGGCGCCGGTTTGCGGCGGCAGGTCATGGTGTTACAGAGGGCGCGGGTCGCGGGGATACTTGCTCGCGCTTGGTGTTTCGTGTTTCTTGTTGGTGCGAAGCGCGAGGTGACACATGTAGCAATATGTTTGTAGGTGGCTCAATTTTGGCCCAAGCTCGACGAGTCAGTCAGGTTTGGGCTGCGCTGCTCCGCCTCCTTCATTTCCTGTGCCTCAGCTTCTGCACCCCGTAGAGCCAACGATGCTCACGGTCCCTTCGAGGCATGCAAGTGCCCGTTGGCAGCTGCAGCCGTTGGTGTCGTGTGATTTTTGCACGAGGCCATTCTCTAGATCGGGTGGTTTCCCGTATTCGTTACAGGTGCAATCTGCCAGAGGTGAACGCCGCTGCATATCCATGTGGGTCAGGGTCTCATCCACAAATCAATCCCTTGACCTGCGCTGTGCTGCGCTGACTTGCTTGACCTGCGATGACCTGCTGTGACATCTCCGGTTCGAATCCGGATGCGCTGAAATTGGAGCGCAAAAGTCAGAGAGCTAATATTTGTTAACGTTTTCTGACAGGCATTTGTTCGGGCTTGGCGCTGATGCTGCTGTCTACACATCTATGAAAGATACGCTGCCAACTTTCACAGTAATTCCCAGCCCTGCCAGCATAGACCGCGGTTCCAACTTGCACCGCGGAGCCACAGGACCCAATGGCTCTGCCCGATCACAGGCGTAAGGACGTTAAACTCACACTCGGGAGCTGCCGTGCCGTCCGTATGTGTTGTAATGGGGGAGGCTTGTGAAGGCAATTCCAGGTCCATCCATTGCTTGACACACCAGAGCGAACTCGACACTGTGTCCAGCCTTCGACTGCTAAGCTCGACAGACGAGATTCATATTTACTGCGGGTGGGATGGGAACGAGTGGCACACGTGCCCTGGCTCTTGCACACTTGAGGAGCGAAAGAGGATGAGGGGCATGCGGGGGGGATCGAGGACAGAAGGGAGGGACGGGCAGCGGGGGGCAGGGCGCCCTGTGCCGAGCCAGTTCGTGTCTGGGGGCGAGGGGGGCTGGGGCCAGGGCCAGGGGACGCCAGAGCCAAGGAGGGAGGCTGGGTTCAGGGCCAGGGCAGGAGGACTGGGGCTCGGACCAGGATCCAGAGGTCCGGGTTGGGGCGAGGAGGCCAGGGGAATGGGGGGCAGGGGGACGACGACGAGGATGGGGGGCCAGAGCCAGGGGGACGACGAACCACGAAAATAAAGAGGTCCGAGCTCTAGAACACAACTGTGCAAGAGAATTCGCCGGCCCAACGGGCCAGAGGCGTGCTAAGATCTCCGGTAACTGGTTAACAATTCTCTAGTTCGCGCGCGCAGGGCGGCCCCTGGGGGTCCCCGGACGAAAAGTACCCCGGGCGACTCCCGGCTGATCCCCGGGCGAAGTCACCAGAGCGCCCCATGAGCGCACCAACAGGGCTCCGAGACGTCCCCGAGAGCCCCAAGAAAGGCCAAGAGGCCCCCAAGAGGCCCCCAAGATGGTACACGAGGGGTCCGACATGCCACAAGATCGCTCCAAGACGCCCAAGATAGCCCCCAGACGCCCCAAGAGGCCTCCAAGAGCACTCCCAAGAGGGCCCCCGGAGGCAAAATTCATTGCTTTTCCTTAGGTTTTTGAGAGATTTTGGAGCTTCCACCTTTTCGGCTTCCCGACGCCCCAAGACGGCCCAAGAGGCCCCCAAGATCGCCCCAAGAGGGCCCAAGAGGCCCCCAAGAGGGCCCCAAGATGGCCCAAGAGGGCTCGAAGACGGCCCAAGAAGCCTCCAAGACGGTCCAAGAGGGCCCCAAGAACGCCCCCAAAGGGGCCCCAGAGAGGGAACACGAAACAACATTTCGAGCCCTCGGCCCTAAGAAGCCCCTACGAGGCCCCAAGAGGCCCCTAAGAGGCCCCAAGAGGCCCCCACGAGGCCCTCAGGAGGCCCCCAAGAGTCCCCCAAGCGGCCCCAGGAGGCCCCCCAAATGCCCCCCCGAGCGCCCCAGGAGTCCCCCAAGCGGCCCCAGGAACCCCCAAAGCGCCGCACTGACACCAGGCCCTCGGGCAAACGGCAGACATGAGACTGTATGGGCCGGCGGAATGAGCGAAGCGATTGAATAAAGCGTTTGCCTTCCTCGACGTGCCAGGCATTTGCGATCGTAGTGGCCGTTTCGATAAAATGATGGTGATTTTTCGAGGGTGCGTCACGATCAGACGCTTTGATGCAGTCTTTAGTTTCATGGCGGCTTCGACGTGTTGCAGTTCGATGGGTTCCGCCGAGGTAGTTTGGAACATTATGTCTGACTGCCCTGTACGTGACAGCAAACGGGGTGGAGTTATCATAGGCGCGTTTGGCAAGCCACCGCCGCCCCTCGTATCGTGAAACCGCCTGTGCCGTGAATCGTCGAGCGAAAGAGTGGCCACGCTTGTGGACTGCGCGTTCCCTCGTCTGTTGGGGAAGCCTCTGGGGACTTCTGGTGCCATCTTGGCCGTCTCGGAGGCGTCTTGGGACCGACTTGTAGGCCATCGTGGGCCATGTTGACAATCTTGGAGACAGGTTGTGTTGAGTTTGCGCTGGTGGCCTGGTGGCCAGCGGGTTGGGCTTGAAGCCGCTGGGAACCTCTTGGGAGGGCCAGCGACCTCGACACTCCAAGCCTTGTTTGCAACCGAAGATGGCGGCGGATCGAAGACGCCTACGGCGAATCACCCTCGCCCCCTGCCTTTTCGGAAGCACCTCTGTGGCCGAACGTTGCGGCCATAGCTCGGCCAAGCTATCGGACAGTTTGCTCCCCTAGCTGTGGTGGAAGACCTTTAGGGAACACGCGATTCAGAGGATAATAAGAGGAGGAGAGAGGGAAACCATGGAGGCGGAGGAGGACCCCTCTTGGGAGCATTTCGGGGTACTCTCGGGGCCTCTTGGAGGCCTCTTGGGGGCTTCCTTGGGCCCCACCTGGAAGCCTCTGGAGGCGCCTTCGGAGGCGCGTTGGCCGTCTGAACGCATTCCTGGCCTGCATGACGCCGTCGGACGCCGTCTTGGGGGCCTCTCTGGGCGGACCTGGGGCCCTCGCGGACGCGGCCGTCCTGGAGGCCATCTTGGGCAGCTCGGAGGGGTCCTGGGCCTCTTTGGAGCCGCCGTAGGGGCCTCCTGGGTCGACAGAATCCGGAACATAAGCAGACGCCAGAATCTTTCGACAATGGCAGGAATATCACACGGTGGTGGTTTCTTCGGGGATTCTTGCAGGTCCTCGCGGAGGCCCCCTGGGCGGTTTTGGAGGCCTCTTCAGCGATCTCGAGGCCACATTGGGCCATCTTCGGGGCACCGCGGCCCGACTTGGAGACATCTTGGGGCCATCCTGAGGTGAGGGGGCGCAAACGGTCCTCATCTTGAGATAAGCAAAGTTCGGAACAAGTTTCAGGCCAATGCGTTTACAACATTCAACTCCAACGTTGCCCACACTTCGAAATTTTGACAACGTTTGGATACCATTCGGCGGCGAAGAGGTTCCGCACCTCCAGAGCGCGCTTGACTTTTTCTTGAACTCCCGAATTGGGTTCAAATTGTTCCAAACTTGTACCAAACCTTTTACATAGCCATTTTGGCTCAAGTTGGGGCTCAAGCGCCTTCGGGTCAAGATCTGTTGCGCGTGCCCTCTGATCTAGTTAATTACACCGATTCGGCGCTTACCATTGCAAACAATGGACTCGTTTATGAGGCGTGTTTCATCTCAGTGCTTTCATAGCGATGAGTATTTTGAGACCTACACGAATCCTGACCCATTCGACCAAGCATCAGGTGGCATGTGTACGTCGTTGCCCAGTTGGGGCTCACTGCCCACCATGCAGCCGGTCACCATGCAGTCGCTGCTTGCCTGGCAGGAAAACCACCCCATGTTGCAGTCGAGCGGCGGTAACTCGTGGAATACTTTTGACGAGTTCGACGACCCACGCGGGCGGGCGTCGGCGGGCAGAAATCCAATGCAGAACTCATCCGAACACGCGCAGGATTCAGCCCAGTTGGGCCCTGGCGGCGACTCCTCGGCGGCCGATGCGCAGCTGCCATCTCGGCCTGGAGGCGCTCTGCTGCTCCGTGGCCAGTCGCTGCCGCGCAGGCAGGAAGACCACCCCATTTTGCAGTCGAGCGGCGGCGAGTCTTGGAAGACCTTTGACGAGTTCGACCACCCGCGCGGGGGCGCTCTGCCTCTGACCACAGTAGGCGCTCTTCTGCTCGATCGCTCCGCGGGGGCGGCGCCAGCCTATTCACCGACCAGGCCGCCCGGCATGCCGCCGCGATCCACCGCCGAGACGTGGCTGGCCGCGGGCCCCCCAGGCGAGCCAGACCGCGCGGCGCGGGCGAGACAGCCGGCCAGCGGAGGGCGGGCAGGGGCCTCCAGTGGCACGCCCGCGGCCGCCACGGCGCTGGCAGACATGCGGGCCCGGCTCCTGGCGCAGGAGCAGCTGCTGGCCCAGGTCCAGCAGCAGGCCCAAGACCTCAGGCGCAGGATCCGCGAGCAGCAGGCCGACCTGGTGGAGATGGAGCTTCAGCAGGGCGAGCTCGTTGACAGCATGTCGGCAGCCGCCGAGGAGGCGGCGCCCGCCACCCCTGGCGCTCCAGCAATCACCACGCTCATGATCCGCAACATCCCGATGTCTGTGACGCAGCGTGACCTGCTGGACCTCATCGACAGGGCTGGTTTTGAGAACCGCTACGACTACGCCTACATGCCGACAACTTTTGACAGTGGTACCACTAGAGGAATCGCATTTGTGAATTTTGCCACCTCAAGCGACGCCCGCGAGTTTTCCGTCTTGTGGAACGGATCGCGACTGATTGATGTTGCCTGTTCTGGAACCAGCGGGACCGTGATCGCGGTCACCGCCTCGGCGACGCAGGGCTACTCGGAGAGCGCCCGGATGTGGAAGGCGAGCCGGCTGCGCCGCATTAGGAACCCCAAGTTTCACCCCTTCATCGCCCCGAGGCCAGCTGCCTGATGAACGCCCGGTTGACATTTTCATTGGATGCGCGGGATGTGGGGGATGGGGGGGAGCGCGCGGGAGGCCAACGAGGACGAGGACGAGGACGAGGACGCGGGCACCGCGCAGCGCACCCCGGTGCGCGCCAGTTGGCGGCGACGGGCCGTCGCCACCACGAGCTGCCCTCCTAGCGGGCAGCCCAGCCAGGCGGCGCGATCAAGGCGGGCCATGTGCAGAGAGGGATTTTGTTAGTGCGCTCGCTTGAATCTCGAACTTGCACGCAGCCGTGAATCATCATCGGCGGCCAAGCTTCACGTAGTTTTGCATGTGCTAGGTCAGTATTCAGTATGAGAAAGTTTCACTGTTTCTAAATGGGAAGCTTCCCTGGCCACATGAGCCCCAGGTGCTCATTTTGAGGGCCCGTGTGCCTGAGGCCTCCGCGACCGACTGGAAATACCTGGTCGGCCGGCCGTGCCCTTCCCACTGACTTTGTTTTGTTCAACTTATCATCATCGAGGGTTTTCATGTCAGTCTTTGCTCCACGCTTTCGAGCGGGGGCTGTGCCCATTGCCTTCCATTGTTCATTGAGTACCCTCCCGTCCCAGCTGCCGTGCGTTCAGTGCGTGGCACCGAAATCTTCGGAGGCCAGCGCTCGGCTGCAGCAGGCGTATT